GAAATTTTACGGGCAGATAGTACACGATAAGATCTTCAAAATGAGGTATCTCAACACCCCTCATCCCTATTCAAAATCAAGGGGTTGTGCTCACCCCCGTTAGGGGGTTGAAGTCACGGGGATGAAAACAGCGGAAAAGTTGTTCCCCCTCGAATCAGCAATTGACGGGTTCGAGCGATTTTCCACATTTTCATGTTAACGCCGGAAAATCGAGGTGTTAAGTTTTCGTTGGACCACACTGTATATACAATTATGTGGCATGTTTGAAGAAAATTTTTGAATAGGGATGAGACGGGATTGAGGACTGGCTCATGTTCATAGGCTCTGTTAGAGACTCCTCTGGCCTATGTTACTTCTGGGGCAGATGCTCTTCCGCACATGCCTTGTGCCTCATTGGGTATCACGTCTTTAGGTTTTAATTGAAAATCGGAGATTAAATTATTGACTTTGAATTGTATTCTTATATTTTTCCTCTTCGGATTTTGACTCACTTTGCCTTTGAATCTATGAACAGAGAGAAGATAGGCCTATTAGTGGTCAGTTTGGGCATAGGATTGGCTGGGTTATAACCCAAATAATAGTTCTGAATATAAGTTTTCCGTGAAACATCTCATGATTTTTGTATTGCGTGATCAATCATGTTCGGATGAAGTGAAAGAATTACCGCAAAATTGTCAATAATAAGTGGTGCCAAAAAATTGAGTAACTCGGAAAAATATTTATAAAATGGAAAATCAGTGAGTAGAAATGGATTTTCTTGTATGTGCCTTTGTTCAACAGCTGATTGCAAAATCATGTTTTGGTCACATAAATGCGATTTATTCTTTTTAGAAAGCTAGTAACTGCAATATTGATACTTTTTAGTAGAATAACTAAGAGAACATGGGGCAAATGGCAACACCGCCTTGTGGGAAATACCATGTAAATTTGGAGAAAAAAGCCAAGCTCCGTTTTGCAAATTTTTGTCCTGACATGGGAATCTCCATAAGACAGTGTTACCAGATTTCTCCAGATCCATAAGATTTCATACACCATTCAGATGTCGCACGATCCGCTGTATTGAAAATAAAAATAAAATAACTCTGCGCGCTCGACCCAATACTATCTGGCATTAAAGATGAAATTCAATCATTGCCACCCTCGTGTGGGTTGAATAATTTCCCAAACTACCTGTTCCATATTAAAAAGTAGGGTCTGTGTGTTGTAATCTATTTAAGACAGGTGCTGAAGTAGTGTG